GGGGGGAGGTTGATTTGTTGTTCCGCTTATTGGTGCATTCATTGGTCGGTTCTTATGGGGTCAAACCCGCAACCTTGGTATGTCAGGACAGCGCTCTAACCAACTGAGCTACCCGGCCAGGGCTCGTTGTGTTTTTAATTTGCATTTCCCCTAATTACTAGGGATGTTGCGCATCTTTTCATGGGCCTGTTTGCCATGTTTATTTTTGTTAAAGTCAATTAAAATCTTTTGCCCACTTTCTTATTGTTGAGTTTTGAGGGTTCTTGATATCATCCAGATACACACACACACACACACACACACGCACGCACAGGGTGAGAGCCCCATATTTCCTTTAGCACAGGGAAAATCCCAGGGGCAATCCCTATCTTAGGACTGTTTAGCGAAACTTTTAAAGATAAAAGTAAATAGATAAAATTTCTAGTATCTTTTTCCTGCCCTGGGGGGTTGTCTTGTGTACCTGCCCAGAAAGGTCTTCGAATGCTGTCTGTCTTCCTGCGTTCCAGTCGTGCTGAGCAGATAGTACATGATCTGTGAGTGTTTGGGAAACAGATGACTTCCTGTCATAAATGGTGACGCTCTGGTGTCGTTTTCCTGTCTGCTTTCTTCCAGGATTTGTTTTCTCGTAGCCACCTTCCTCTAAGCTCTGAACTTAAAGGTCTCGACACACATTTTTTTAGAGGATGACACTCGCAGTTATCCATAATGTACAACCATGGAACCATAAGCCAATATAATTTTGGAGCTGGAAGGGGATTTGGAGGTCAGCTAGTCCAAATTCCTTCTTAAAATCAAACAAATGTACAGGCAGGGAGCAAGAGGCGTCCAGAACACAGGTGCCAACAGGCTACGTCTTCCTGGGGAACTCAGAGGAGGCTGAGGCAAGACTTGAGATTGGTAGGTGAAGAGCCTCCCTGTCTGGGGGAACATTGTGGGCCACGGTGGTGAAATGCTAGTTCCAGGAACTTCTTGTGGGTTGGCCTGACTAGAGCAAAGGCTACCATGGGAAGGGAGCAAGAGAAGGGACTGCAGAGGTGGTGGAGCTAGACTGTGAGGCTCTTGCTGCCCTGTCAGGGCTCAGGCGAAGCTGACAGGTTGGCCAAATCTGTGGTCTGTGTCACTGGGAATCATCTCATCCAAACAGTTGGCATGGATTTCCAGGTCCCAGGTTTCCAGGCTGTGACACTCACGTTCATGCTCAATTTTAGTCTGGGAGTTCCTGTGTTCCCCAGGGATGTTTCAAGGCCCAGGAGAGCTGGTTTAGGTTTGAGCAGCAGCTGGGGGACATCTGGAGCTACACCTGGGAGTGAAGATTCTGGTGTATTTGGATGTTGGAGGCAACCAACAGTTCGGCTGACCCAAAGGCAGCTTTTTCACAAGTCGGGAATTCTGCCTTTCTCTCTGGCTGGTGCACTGATCCCTAAAGTCCTGCACCTCTGACAATGACTGTCTCGTGTGCTGTGATCTGTATCTAGTCTGGTTAACCAGTCATCCCCCCACACCCCAGATTTCTCCAGCCACTGAATAACAGAGGTCATGGGAGAGCCCCTTATGCATTTGTTTGTTTGTTTTTAGAGTGGATTTCAGAGCAGACTAGGATATTTAATTCAGGGTACAACTGTCAGACCCCATTAAAAATGCAGTCAGCAATGCAGAACATGGCTGGCTCATGTCAGCCAGACATTTCAGTGTAACCAGAGGAGGCGAGCATGGATAGGGCCAGTGTTAGTGGAAGTAGACGCCAAGTGGCATGGCAAGCTCTGGCTCCTGTTTCTCCTGCCCTCTGCCACCCTCCGGCCGGAAGAAAGAAGCTCATATTTAAGCTAGAAGTTAAAATGGGATTGCTGCTTAGTACCCCTGTGACCTAGAGATCAAGTTGCTTACACCTCAGGAGGAGACATCCCATGGAGGAGGGCTGTAGCTGCCGTGGGGTTGGAATCTGTAGCAAGGCTCCATGAATGAAAAAGGTGGGTTTGGTTTATGCTTGACCCCCCGGGATTCTCTGCTGTCTTGTCTAGAGATGGCTGAAATCAAGTGGGTCTAGGAGGGACCAATGTGGATCAGTGGTCTCAGGTGGAGCCCTTATGTCAGGTGATGTTTTTAATGACACCGTGGAGTTTGTTTTTCATGCCTTCTCACCTGGGCTGCTGGAAACAGTCCTAGTGCGGCTGGTCCCCGCTCCTCAGCTCTGTCTCTTCTGCCTTGTCCACCCCCAGCTGGACTGCTAACCGCTCCCTGCTCCCTTTTTGCTGTGTCAACCCTAGAAGGTCACAATCGCTATGATTTGGGACTGGTTTCCCCAGGGGTGGGCGAAAGGGCCGTCTAACTATCGATTTGTGTTCTTGCATTTCAGTCGTTCCAAGGAAGTCAAGGACGAGCGTACCTCTTTAACTCAGTGTGAGTGTCTCCACAGTACGTCCATTGTTTGGTGCAGATCTGAGGGGTGGGGAAAGAAATAGCAACGCTCAGCCATAATTAAACGACGGACCCTGCCCTCTCTACCACCTTCCACAAGTGGTAGCCAGTTATCTTCGGGGAATTTTGGGGGCAGCGTCTTTGGCTAAAAATGAAATATTCACTAGGCCCAATAGGCACATCAGAGAGCTGTGGCCTCACAGGAAGAAGCTGGGAGCTTCTGAGAGAGCTTCAAAGCGAGGTCTCATAACCAGGTCTGACGCATGTTGGGGAAGAGAGAGAGTGAACAGCAGACGCCAACATCTGAAGGACCTGAGGCCGGAGGGAGGCCCAGTTGGGGACAATCCTTCCTCCCTCCTGCAGATGCACAGCCTCCCCCACCCCGTAGCCCTCAGCCATTAACCAGGCACTGCACTCGCCGCCTCTTGCCCGGGAAAGGAAGGGGAAGCCCACACGAGCCGATGAGCTGTGAGAATGGAAGTCTAGCATGTTCGGCTGGAGATGGTGCCCGCCCTGCGGAGGAGGAGAGTGTTTGATCCCCAGGGCTCGCTCACCCTTGTGTCAGGGCAAGACTGGGCCCGTCGTATTTGACATTTCCGGCTGCAGTCGGTCCTCAGGAAGCTCAGGGCCTGTGCCCGTGGCTGTGGACTTCAGTGTGGCCCTCAGTCTGTCCCCTTAAATCCCAAGACTGAAAGCCCTTGTTAGAAACATTCCAAGCCAAGTCTCAACCATCAAGACTATTTTTAGTAGACTCATTGAATCAGAACTTGCAGACCTGAGAGTCGCGTCAATGGAGATTTTCCATGCGGCTGCCTTCTGGGGGTGGGTATTGATGCCGGTGGCAGACGATGCCCTTCCCTCGGGGCTGGCTTCCCTTCAGGCGGCCGCGCTCAGTTAATTGTTTCTCCGGGAGCTCAGCTCGAGCAGCCGCTGCTGAAGCCGAAACTAACCACCCGCTCTCTCCCTCTGTCCCCGGCACAGAGTTAACGTGGGCTGTGGGCCCGCAGAAGAGCGGGTGTTGTTAACAGGACTGCACGCGGTCGCAGACATTTACTGTGAAAACTGCAAAACCACTCTGGGCTGGAAATATGTAAGTATCGAGAAGCCTGGTGAAGGGGGGAGCCGAGAGCCTTACATGACATGTCACCTTTCTGTGGCCTGTGGGACTGTCTTTGGCCAGGACAGGAAACTGAGCTCAGAGAGCTCGCAGTCCTTGCCACACTCTCGCTTATCTTTCCACTGAGAGTCCCCTCTCCCTGCTCATTCCCTCACACCGCCCCTGAGACAGACAGGCACCCCCCACCCGTGCCTTTTAATTTAATAAATAATAACATGAGCACAAAGCAGTTCCCGACAGCTTGCTATGTTCCAGACTTATGTGGTTTAATTCACTCTTCACAGCATCCCTAGCGGGCAGGGCATATTTTAGCCCCCATTTTATGGATGAGGAAACTGAGGCTTAGGGAGGTTACTAGTATGTCCAATGTCACCTAGTCATTAGATGGCTAAACAGGATGGGGTCCAGGTCGTGGTCTGACTGCAGAGCCCATGCTCCTCGATGCTCTAGTAAATGTCGCCAGAGCATCTCTAGTCCTAGGCCCTGTGCTAGGCGTCATCAAACATTGGTAGCTAATGCTCACTGTTAGATACAGTCACGGCTGGACTTTGCCAACCGGACATTCATCTTTTCATTGTTTAACTCAACAAATGCTTTCCATGTCTTCTTGGTACCGAGGAAAGGGAGTGGTCCTTTGCTAGGGTGGGCGGATGTTCCATGTAAAATGCCTCACATTCCGTGTCCTGTGTGGGGCTGGCTCATGTGACCTGTGTTAGGTAGCTTTGGGAGGAGCCTGAAGGAGTCGGAATTGCTGGCAGAGTGACAGTGGCGTGTCAGTGCGGGTTTGTTGTTGTAACAGATGTACCACTCTACAGGATTCGATAGTGGGAGGTCATGTGTCTGTGGGAGCAGGGAGTATGGGGGAATCTCTCTGCCTTCTGCTCCTATTTTCTGTGAACCTAAAACTGCTCTAAAAATATGGAACCTTTTTACAAAATGATGTGGAACAATGGAAGCCAGGCATAGAAGTATGCTTGCATTTAAGTAAAGTTCAGAAATATGCACATCTTAAAAACTGCTGCCGGCGGAGTCCGTAATGGAGCAGCCCTTACATCTCCCTTGAAATGATTAGAAAGAAAAAAACCTAGACGCTGTGTCTCATGATGCCGAGATGGTTTAGCCTGAGCTCCCTGTGGTTGCCTTGGCTGTTCCTTCTGGGAGAAACTGGCCTTGGCCGTTCTGCTCCCCCTGTGCGACCACTGGCCCCTCTGGGTGATCTGGGAGCCACCTTTCTGGGTTGATTACGCAGAAATGTTCTGCCCCTTCTCTATTGCCCAACCTCTTGGTTATCATTCCTTTCAGGCTGTGCTGGATCAGACAGAAGATAAGTCTGAGTTGGTTGGTTTTGCTCTCTCTTTACTTCAGGTCAAATGATTCACTCCTTTGGCAAAGCTTTACCGAAAGCCTTTGTGTGGGATACAGAAGTGAAGGATCTAGTCCTTGCCTTCAGGGTGTTCACAGTCAAGGCCAGGAAGGATAGCCGCAGGTAAACGGAGAAACAGTGGACAGGTAGAAGGTACGCATGCGCAGGGCAGCAGAGAAACATCTGTCTCCCAAAGTACTTATTTATGTATTGAAATATGTTTTTATTGATTTCAGAGAGAGGAAGGGAGAGGGAGAGATAGAAGCATCAATGGTGAGAGTCACTGATCGGCTGCCTCCTGGGGCACGTGCCCTGACCTGGAATCAAACCCTGATCTCCTGGTTCATGGGTCGACGCTCAACCACTGAGCCACGCTGGCCGGGCTCCCTAAGTATTTATTGATCACCGGTGCCCCAACCTTTCATTCCATTATTTCTTTAGACCCTCACAATAATCCTGTGAGATGTTGGTAATCATCCTAGTTTTGTAAATGGGAAGTTTATCATTTTGTAAATTGCAAATGGTGAGTGATGCTTCTGATCCTAGGAAGCCAAGCGTGGGGTGCTGGAGACCCGGGGTGTAGTGCTTTGTCCACTTGAGCTCAGTTGTGACATTTTGCAGATGCCTTGTGGCTTTGGAGGCTGTTGATTTTTCTGTTTGTATTTTTATTTCATAGGGATACACTCCCACTTTCCCTGTTTTGTTTTTTTCCTGTCCCCACCCTGAACACACTACTATGGAACAATAGGTCTTATTCCTGAACCACATTCTGTGCTGTGTACGCACACACACATCACACACATGCGCAGAGCTGGGGAAGATGGGGTGTCGGGGAAATCACCGCCGAGCCAAGCTGGCGTGTGGGTGGTGTGTTCCTACATCCTCTCCTGGTGCCCCTCCTGGCTCCACGAAGTGGAATGATTCCTCTCAACCGAAGACTGTAGTCTGCAACCCAGAGCCCCTGAGCTTTAGACCAGAAGGTGCAGCTCATAAGTGGTGCCCAGAACCTATCCACAGCAGGATTTAGTCACTAATAAGGGGACTCGGGAGGAAGATCTGATGTCCACGGCTTCTCTGCGTCAAGCTTGGCCATCTAATGACTGATGATACACCAAGACGTTCTAGGTATCTATGCCGGCAAATAAAATAGCCCTCTGATCTCACATCCGTGCGGGACTTCTCTCCATGGGGCTCCTAAGCTAGGGAAATGCAGTGCTGCAAGGTTAGGGTGGTGAGCTGCCGGGTACTTTGAGCTTTCCCTCTGGAGGCCTGGCAACTGGGTGGGGCCTGAGGGCTGCCGGGTTCCCCAGCCTGGAGTTCATACCGCTTTTGTGTCTCTGGAGAAAGGCAGTGAAGGAAAAACACAGCTGACATTGAAACAGCAAGATAAGAAATGAAAAGACCTGTTTGGCCTCACGATACTTTCCTCTCGCTGAGCGTCTTTTTCTAAACGTAACCAGTTTAAAATGATGACTCAGACTGTCTGAACACATCCATAGGGCAGACTTCTGGTTAGCGTCAGAAATCAACTCCCCCTAAGACAAAATCTGTGTACCTGCGTCCATTCATTCGGCAGTTATTTATCAAAGACCTGTCATGTGCCAAGCCGTCCTCTAGGCGCTCGGGATGTGGCCATGAGCGGAACAGAGGAAGTGTCTGCCTTTCGTGGAGCTGATACTGTTGTGGTGGGAGGCGGACAGCACACAGAATAGATGGGGGGTAGGTTACAGTGTGTGCTTGGGGGTGATAAGCTCTGCGGAGACAAAGCAGCAAAGGAGGAGGGGTTGTGGCGGAAGCTGTGATTTTAAGGAGCTGAGTAGTTGGGAAAGAGCTTACTGAGATGTGACATTTGGGCAGAGACTTGAATGAGCAAAGATCCTAAGGAAATTCTCTGTTGTAGATGTTGAGGAAGCCCTGGTGTCCCCTCAATGCTGGAGTTAACTGAAAGGGATAGTGTGCTTACGTGGTGGCATCCTCTCAGTGAGTCTCAGTAAAGCGGGGCAAAGACTCTAGTGCCTGTCGTTGGCCCTGCCTTTGCTCCTGTGCCACGAAAGTCACCTGCTTGTCCTTGGTCATTCAGCATCTTTTTTCTTCCTTGTGTCTCTTAGGAACATGCCTTTGAAAGCAGCCAGAAATATAAAGAAGGCAAATACATCATCGAGCTGGCACACATGATCAAGGACAATGGCTGGGACTGATCGGGAGCAGCCACCAGCCCCGTGTCCACGTGAACGCCATCCAACTGACCATTCTACCCAAGCGTGAGAGAGTGACTGAACACGTGGGTCCATCCACGTGTGGGCCTTGCCCTCTGGGGCATCCTCCCACCCCGACGCCGTCTTTCTGGTGACCGGCCTCTAAATCGCTGTCTCTCTGTCTCTTTGCTTCGTATCTGTTTGTGAGTGATCCTGGCTTCTCTCTCTGTTCTAGTGTTGGCTGAAAACAAAACAGCAAAAGGAACAGATGCCCGACCGCATGGCGGCAGCCCACCTTGATCAGGGCCCAGGGCCCAGGCTGAGCTGCCTGATGGCTTCTTGTCAGGGGCGCGGTGCCCAGCACGGGGGTGTGAGCAGGAGGGAAAGGGGGGACCTGAGGGTTCCGGGGTGGGCAGGGACGGGAGGGTAGAGGTAGGGACAAAATCGTGCTACTCCTGGAGACCTGGTAACTTAGGCTTGAAATAACCAAGTTGTCTAAAAAGACAAAGAGGGGAAAAAAAATACCTCATGACCGCGTTCTCTCTGATCAGAAGCTTCTGTCCCTGACACCAAATGTGCCAGGTGAGCACGTGTGCAGCAGAGCGGCGCTAATCCCAGCTGGCGGGGCAGAGGCCTGGTTCTCCTGGGCCAGGTCGGGGGTGTCTCGGTGGCAGTGAGTGACTCGGAGGAAAGCCCAGATGGGTTTTGATGACTCCAGAGCCCCACTGCTCCTCGGGGCCATCCTCACTTCCTCTTCCTTCACGTAGGTGAGAGGAGGGGGACTACCCTTTGCAGTGGGTACAAAATCCAAACATCCCAAAGGCTTTGACCAGGAACCAAGTAAAGTCAGTAATTGAGGAGAGCAGGGAACAAAGGGGGCTGCCGTTTGGGAGCTCCTGCAGAAATGGCTCAGGTGTCGGGCCAGGAAAAACAAAACACCAAGTCAAGCTAGTTGGCATTTCTGCCTGCCTGACCTTTTTCCTGACCCGCGATAAGAGAAGAGCATCCTGTCAAGGTAGGGGGTGGGGGCGGTGCTGGGACTAGCTTAGCTTTGAACCGTTACAGGTTCGGTGCGTCTTTCGTCTTTGGCATGCGATGGCTTCAGGGAGGTCAGCAATTCTCTGTACATAGAGTTTTGGGTGGTTTTCTCCCGTTCTCTCATTGTAGATTGTGGAAAACAAAGTCCCAAGGCTTTGAGCTTAGTGATAGCTTGGCTGGTAGATTCCTCATGCCCCTAGCTGTTCTCCTTGGACTTGAACGTTTTGTGTGGAGAGAAAACCAGGGGTGGGGAGGGCTTAGATTTGATGTCAAAACGTCAAGTCACAAATTTTAATATTACCCCACCCCTGCTCCTCACCTCCCGATCCAAAGCTCATTATATTCGGGGGAGTGGGGAACAAATCCCTCTGAGGCTCACGAGAGAGGGAGGAGCATGTTACATTTAATCAACACTGTGAAGTCTGTTTTACAGCAATTCAGCCAGTACACGGCGCATGACGGAAACTCGCTTAGCTGAGTTCATTTCATGGCTTAGACTGAAAACATTATTGTTCAGATGTGTGTAGGTTATTCCGGTAATGCTCAGTCTCTCATTCTGATCCTATAGGACTGTTCACCTTAGACGTCACAAAAGAGTGTGTTCATGGAGACAAGAGTCTATCAGATTGATTCACCGAGATCCAAGCAGCCAACCCAGGACATTTTCAGAACTGAACCAAATTCCCATGGGGAAGGGGTCCTCGGTAGAAATGCCTTTTTGTGTCTCTGCGTGCTGACTGCAGGACGGGGGACCCGAGATGGGCATGGCCCGCCCTGCCCGTGAAGGGCAGCGGGACGGAAGCAGGGTAGCTCCAGGCTCAGCAGTAGGTTGCCTCTGTAGACAGAAGGAGTCTTAGACATTGGATTTTGTTCCCAAAGGCTTCTTGCCCACATCTTTCGGTGCTTTAGTAGCCCTGTTCTCCCCACAGTACTGCAGAGCAGACTGAAGTTCAGAAAAAGTCATGCATCTCTGCTCCCAGAGAAGTAGTTCCTCTGGCTCCCAGGCACTCCCAGGCCCAAGATCTAAAAAAATTTTAAAAAAATTTTTAACTTTCACATTCCTCAGCTGGCTTGCCAGTCAGAAATCATGGATTCCCCTCCAGCCCCCTGAAGGTAGTAGCCTTCAGTTATGGATTTTGATAGACCCCTTGCTCGGGGAATGTCCTGGCTATTGTTACTCCTTCCCATCAAAAGAAAATGGGGGCTTAAACAAGGGCAGGTGTTTTGTTTTTTAAAAGTAAAAATATGTGGCAACATAGAAACCAGACATGGGGTGCCCTAGAATTTTCAGTGGGCAGAGGAGACTGATGTGTCCCTTGTTCTTCCTTGGGGACAGGGCCTCTGACTTGCACGAATCAGAGCAGAGGTCCAATAAGACCCTGGTTTGGTTTGGTTTTTTCAGTTACTGTCCATTGAGCATCCAATGGGTGGATGACGCCATACGTGGCGTGAGAGATCTGAGTAAGGTTGGTTTTTCCAAACCTACAGAAAAAAAAACCCCAACTCATTAGGCTTTCCCTTTGTGTCAATGAAACCAAAAGTGCTTCTTAAAACTTCAGCTCCATTCATGGCTTGTCTGTCTAACGTCTGGTGGTATCAGAGAGACCGCCGCTGAGCAATGGAGATGCATTAACGCATGGCCTCGGTCGGGTCATTCTTTAATTTTCCTCACCAAATTATTGACTCAGAGCATAACCAAAGACCTCATCCATTCACCCCTGGTAGGTTCAGGGAATTAGAGTTCGATGCAGAACTTAGGTGGGGTTGAGGGAGTAAGGAGGGGAAAGGGAGGAGTGAGAATGGAAAATGCCTGGGGTTCCGCGCCTCAGCCAGCACTGCCTTCGATTTCAGCTGAAGTCCAGCCGCAGACCCTCTGGTTCCATCCGAGGTCATGCGGCCTGTGGTGGCCCTGGGTTACACCCCACCCCACCCTCGATGTTAGTCTCAGGCTGCTGATGGGCGGATTTGACTCCAATCAAATTCAGTTTTCTAAGGTCACAGGTTGCCTGCTGGGCCTGACTGAGCACCGCCCCGCCTCCTAGGACAGCAAGATCATGGGAACAGGAGAGAGGACATCTTTACTGGTGGGTCAGTGTGTGAAAAAGAGGCATCCCCTTTATAAAAAGATTTTCAAGTGGATATATATAAAAGAAACAGTTGCTTGTGAATATATACTTTTGTAAATAATATTTAATTTTTTAAATAATATATTTGGTGCTGTTTTCTCAGATTCCCTGAGAGCACTTTTTATTTTCATTTTTAAATTTTATGGTTTTCTCTGCATTTCTTGAAGTATATTTTAAGGGAAACAGTGATCACCGATGTATTTTTTTTTTTTAAAAAAAAAAAAAAGATCTCTAGCACATTAGTCTGGAGGCAGTGAAGTGGTGCCTCTCTGTAACCCCAATGGAATGGACTCTACAGTACACTTTAGCAGGTTGAGAATCCAAATTCTTTTCTTGCACCAGTATTGGCTAGAAAATAAAAGAAATATAATCAAGTAAATTTAGCAACAACTTAGAGTGAAACAAATTGGAATCATGTTTGTGTGTACGAGTGCGTGTGTGTGTGTGTGTGTGTAAAGCACTTTGCCTTGTGCCTCATGTTTTCTTTTTTATTGGGGACACTATACCTATGGTTTACACCTTGGGCACATAAGGATTTTTCTTCTCTTTCATTCGAGTGGACCAGCAGCACAACCCTCGAGGGCCTTGTTTTCCTGAGCGTGGAGCTGTTGCCGGTTTATCCCTGTTTCTTTCTTTGTGTGCTCAACTTTTCCAGACTATAAAGGAAATCTGTTGTTTGCGGAGATCAGGCGGAGTCAAATCTGTGTTTCTGAGATGTGAGTGAATTCATCACAGACCCCAGGGCTCCAGTCGTGGTAGAAGCCACATGTTAAAACATCAACTGGTTTGGGTTGAAAATAATGCAGTATAAAATAATGCACACGCCTCGTTGGTAAACAGCTGTTTTTTTAAAGGTCAGATCGCCTCAGGTTCAGGAAAAGGCTGGGAAACCAAATCTTGAACACAATCAACTTACATGTTTTTTTAAAAGTCTGCCTCAAGTGAGAAAACGTGCTAATGGTCTTAGTAGAGGAAAGAGATGTTTTAATTTTTTAAATTAAAATACAGACATGAAATCTGCCAGTCGCGAATGGTAAAGCCAAGAAGCAGCAAGCTCTTCTCATTTTACCAAATTTTATCTCCCAGATGTCTTTGTATAACATTTCAGTGAGAGTGAGAGTTCCCTTTCCAACCTGCAGAGACTATCTTTGAATACAGAATCTGTTTATGCTTGTGTTTACAAACTATTTGTTGGGTTTGGGTTTTGTTACTTTCTTTTGTTTATATTTTTGTTGTTGTTGTTGGCATTTTTCAGGTCACTTTGCTTTAATAACAAAGATAATTATTTTCAAAATAATTTGTCTTCACCTTTTCCTATATTTGTACATAGTGATTCAGTATTAGAGAAAAGTGCATTGTTTCTGTCATCTTTCCAATCTGTGTTGGTGCTCATTTGAGGAAATAAAGTTTTCAAATATTAATTATTCGGAGGGCTCGTCTGTCTTCATTCACCCAGCCGGTTTTGTCTTGACATTTAATGTAAAGTAACTGAAAGGGCTGCAGGAGGTTACCCCATTCACAGATCTGTCAACTGAGACCCTGAGGCGGGATTTTCTCCAAGGACAGTTAGCCAATTAATGAATAAAAATCAGGTCTCTTGCTTATCTGTAAATACTTCGGGCTTCAGACATCAGAAATGCATGAGTGACCTTTCTCATTTCTGTCTACTAAGCCATCTTCCTAGCTCTTCTGTTTATACTGGTTTCTTTGGGAATAGGAATGCGTTAGGTAAGGGGGAAAAAGAAGCCAAAGAACAAAATTATGTCAAAAAGAGGCAGCATGTTCTCTGGATAACTGACCAACAAAGGCAGATGGATGTTCACAGTTACATGGAAAATCAAGTCTTCTCACTCATCGAACACATTGATCAAACCGATTAGATTCCAGGCACGGGGTGAGGCTATTCAGCGCCCGAATAAATCAGCTCTTTTTGTTTCCCAAGCACCTTCCCTACGGGCGTGTCCACGTGCGCACGCGGCCTTGCAGAGCCCGTTGTGAGTGCGATTCATGCCGGAGCCTTCATGTAGCAGTGCAAACATTTTTGCCTAGACATCATCAATTTATACTATATTTTAAAGAACTTTTTCCAAAGCTCGCCCCCATAACGGAATCCCCCACCTGGCATACGCAGCCTAAATCGCAAAGAAAATGCTAAAACCACACAAGTGTATGCGTTCGTATGTTTTCACATTGGTGATAATGTTTTAAAACCCGGTTCCCTATAAAATAGGAAATCCCTTCTCTACTTCCATGAATTTTCACCTACCCTCTGGGCCCAGCCACAGTTGACTTTCATTTGTCCTTGAGCGGTTATCTCCCTGTGACCTGATTTGCTCCAGCGGATGTGCCTGTTGTTAGCTTCTTGTTTGCCTTTGGCAGACGGGAGGAGAGGAAAGATAACTGCGGGAGACTCGCACGCAGTCTGAAGCCAGCAGCCCTTGGCTCTTCCCTCCCCGGCTCCCCCACCTCAGGGCTGTCCTGCCCGGGAGGAAGCTGCGGGAAGCTGCGGGAAGCGCCGGGAGACTCCTCGGGCGCCTGCTCTGCGGGGCCTGTGCTTGGCCTGCACGATCTCACCCAGGGTCCTCCGTGAGCTGCCTCCTCGGCCACCCTGCGAGCCCCCACCGCCCCGCGGAAAGCGGATTTGAAATTAAACATTGTTCCCGTTTTACAGGTGATGAAATGGAAGTTTTGCAAGGTTTCTCTGCTGGCGACAGGGTCAGGACACAGCCTGCCTGGCTTCCCACAGCCCTGTGCTTCCCTGTGCTGCGTTCCCAACTGTCATCTCTCCGGCCCTCGTTCTGGTGTCGCTTCACAGGGCCTTTCCCTCTGCCCTCGAGACTGCTTCGTGAGAAAGGGGTCCGGGGGTGCAAATTAGAAAGTGTGAGCGAAGCCACCAAAGTCGGCGCTACCTGAGAAAGAGTGTGCGTTCCGCAGCTGAGTATAACGGGCCTCTGTTGTTGAATGCTCTGTAATGGATTACATATGTAATCCTTGGCCCTCGGTTAATAGTAGGTACTTAATACAGTTTGGTGAGCATTGAATTAATGTGGGCGGTGGAGAATTAACAGCTTTAGAAATCTGTTCAACGTGTCAGAATCCCTAAGGAGAAGGGAGATGAGGTTAGCATCGAATGTTTTCTACGTGAGGTGCGTGGTTACACCCTGAGTGATCAAATTCTTATTTGCATGTATTTACTCAACAAGCATTTTTTGACATAAAAAGTGCCCTGTCGCCTGGCCAGTGTGGCTCAGCAGTTGAGCATGGACCTAGGATCCAGGAGATCACGGTTCAATTCCCAGTCAGGGCACATGCCCGGGTTGCGGGCTCGATCCGCAGCAGGGGGTGTGTGCAGGAGGCAGCGGATCAGTGACTCTCATCATTGATGTTTCTATCTCTCCCACTCCCTTCCTCTGAAATCAATAAAAATATTTAAAAAAAAACAACCTGCCCCATCTAGTCAGGAAACTAACCCCAGGGAGCAGAAAATCATGGTACTAAGTGCAGAGTGTGAGAACAAAGGGCTGGGCACGGCCCTCCCTCCTGTTGGCCAGATATCCAGCCACATCAGCCACATCAGCCACGACCCTCACACGCAGCTGTTTCCTGCAAAAGCAATTGCTCATAAATCCTTTTATCTGGACCCAATAAATGGCTCAGGTCCCGGAGCAGGGCACAGGGCACGCTCTTGGAGGTAGAGCGCCTTGCCTCAAACACGTGTTTCCCTTAGTAAAAAGGAAATATATGGAAAGGGCTCAGTCCAGTGCCTGGTATATAGTAAAGAGTCAATAATAAAATAATTGTTACAAAAGATTGCACAAGTCCATTTTGAATTGGAAGTGGGATAAAGAAGACTATTCTTTATGTACATTATATGTTTAATTTCTCAACAATCCTATGAAGCAAATATCCCCATTTTACAGAGGAGAAACTGAGGCTCAGAGGGTGTCAATGACATGCCCGTGGAAGAACTGGGATTTTTTAACTCCTGTTCTGCTTCTGAAGCCCACACCCTATCTGTGGCCCCAGCTTGCCACTCAGGAAACAGGAGTAACTGTCAAATAGGAAGCTTTCTGGCAAATCTAAGCACACACCCAACACTTCATGGCTGTTCTGTCTCATGTTTTATTCTTTTCTCATGAAATGGAAATCCTGGCTTTTCCAGTGGAAGCTAAGAGCTTAGAACTGAGACAAGGGTCGAGTTGTGTTATACCTTTATTTTACAGGACGTCGGGCCTGTTGATTTTATCTTTCTTAGGAGGGGGAAAATGTGTTGCTTTCAGTTGTTGACACTGCTTTAAAAGATAAAAATCCAAAAACTTGCCCACGCAGAAGTGACTCAAGTATCCTAACATATGACAACATCTCCATGGGGCCATTCGGGACCAACTCTCCAGACCAGCTTGGAACAAGCCAAGGATTAAAAAGTTCATGTCACATGAAGATACTTCTAATTCCCAAGTGACATGGGATCATTTTTATGAGGGACAGAATAGCTAAAGATACTGATTTTCTCAAGGCATTAGCAAATTGTTTGAAAACTCTGACAGGACTATCGAGTTCTATTTATTTTAAATTAAAATCATGTTAATGATTTATCCCAAGCTCAGACGTGAGCAGGGTCAAGTAGAAGGAAGGTTGGCTTTGCTGTTGGACAGATGGGAATGTTAAGCCTGATTGCATCGATCCTCTGAGGAAGTCACAGCAGTTCTCAGGACCAGTTCCCATCCTCTGCAAAACACGTAAGTTACTGTGAGGATCACAGAACAGCCCAGCACATTGCCCAGATCAAATAGACTTTAGCAAGTGTCATTGTCTTTTTTTTCTGCCGAGTGACAGGAACTCACAGTGATGGGCACTGCTGGCGCACAGGACATTTAGGATCCAACATTCGTCCCTCTAACCCACCTCTATGAAGGAGACTAGGAAACCAGCGCTTGGTCGTGGGCCAGGTAAGTACCAGAACTAGACCAGAGCACCTAGGCCATCAGGTTAAGTGGTCCCTGCACCACGCTACTTGCTTCTTCTAGAGGAGAGTGTGGGCATTTAGGGAAAAATACAGAAGAGCATCAGCTAGGAAAAAACCCTGGAATTTTAGGATCCTGCTTGAAACTTGATAGTAACCATCAGTGGTGGTCTTCAATAAGCGAAATGCGCTCTATCCTCGCATCCTGTCTGGTGTGCACGCAACACGTGGAGGAGGGAGCCGAATGCCCCCAGGCTCGCTCACATCCCCAGCTCCCCCCTCCGGTTTCCCCAGAGCGAGGCCATGCAAGCACAGCAACCAAGTAGTCGCATCGGGGATGTTTTATTTATGGCTTTAATAATGGAGTCTCTTGGGAAATTTTTGGTTTCCCATTCCCAGAGGCAAAAACGCATCTGTAGAATGTTCTTGAAATTTATTACTGTTTCTGTTTTTTTTCCTACCACATTATTTGAGCCGCCTTAATCGAGTTTAAAATGTACTTTCGCAAAAATAGGACGATTTGAGTTGTCACTGGTTTGGCTGACGTGCCCTGTACTAGGCCAGCACCGTGTCGAATGTTGAGAATACAGGTTGATAGACTGCTGACCATAAGAGGAACGTGATCCCATGTCGAGCTTGCCACGTTTACTACCCAAACTGCCACTAATCCAGCAGGCGTCTGTTTTAGCTTTGTCCGGTTCCCAGTCCCTTATTTCCACAGTCATTGGAACACAGCACCCGCATGTCCTGGAGGCACTCAGGCTTGAAGTTGTTTCTGTGGTGACAAGACATGCCCAAGATTCACATTTTATTTCGTTTCATACCTAAATGGCATTCTAAAGAAATGGTAGCATCTGAGGCAAGAGGATTGCTGGAAGGGAGGTCCACTGACCCGGGGCCCTCGCTGTGGGAGGCACTCCGGGAGTTTCTGTGGAATTAGGGGCAGTGAGTGTGCATCTTGCAAAGCAAAGGTCGGGATTGCCACAGAGGTCACTGGTTTGGACCTGTTGTGTCCAGTGCATCGGAGATTTCATCTCACCTTCGGTAGACCTAGGTTTCCCCTGAGGGACTTGCCTGAGAAAGCAGTGCCTGTGCGCAGGCAGACTCAGCATGAGATGCCTGTAAAAGCCTTTCTGCCTGTGGGCAGGAGACTACCAGGCATGTGGGGGTTACAAAGCAGACTTCCAGGCTCCAGTTCGCTGCGTAACCTTGGATAGGTCAAGGTCGTTACCTGCTGAGGCTCAACCAACTGGGCCACACAGGCCAGGGCTAAAGTCACTCTTAAATTTCCTCTTAGGCCCAGCTGGGTGTGGCTCAGTGGTTGAGCATCGACCTAGGATCCAGGCGATCAGGGTTCAATTCCCTGTCAAGGCACATGCCCGGGTTGTGGGCTCGATCCCCAGTCGGGGGCGTGCAGGAGGCAGCCGATCAATGACTCTTTTATTGATGTTTCTCTCTCTC